TTTTTTTTGGGAAGGAATTCGGATTGATCACCAACTCGGACACGTGTCGCAACGTGATTGGAACTGAGGAGTAAGGCCGCCACGTGTCGCGCGCGGAATGGAGGAAGTCTGCTGGCAGTGGTCAGGCGACGAGGGAAGCTGGCCAACACTGGGGTCCCACCGAGACAGGTGGCGTGCGTAGATTGGGCGGTTGGCTGGCACGCTGACACGCGGGACCCATGGGGGATAAAACTGAGACGCGCTTAACTGCTACGTGGGAAGCACGCGCGCCCTGAGAGTTGGGCGTCCTGGTGACGCGCGAGGCGTGAGACGGCGGAAAGAAACGCGCGCGGATTCCTGCGCTGAGTGGTGGGGTCCACGAGCTGATGTTGGCTCGGCTAAGCTACTCGGCTCTCTCTCTCTCTGATCGGCTTGTACGGCTCGGCTGAGAGCTTGGCTCCGAGTGGTTTGAAAACATGGCTTCATGGCTTATTCTTGTGTAGTTTTTTTTTATACTGCTTTCATCTGTAAATAATTAAGCAAAGACTAGAAAAATTCCAATTAAAATATTATGAATAAAAATAATGAAATTGCTTAATTAGAGCTTAAATATTTAATATTATATAAATCAAAAGTAGTATTTATGGTGCATTTTCATGCACCAATCACTTCGTTTCGCAGCTTCTCGACTTTCGGTTGACGATCCGTTTTGAGGTAGGGGTCCTATTACTTAACTTTTGTGGAGTTTTATTTAATTTAATTTATTTTGTTAAGTTTAAGAAGATTTAGATTATATATCAAACTTATTTATTACTGTTACACGATATGACTTGAAACAGAACCCTTAGGGGCCCGTCCTGTAATGTACAGCGTGGTCAAGAGATTTTAACATAATTTTGGAAATTGACACAAAAGCATGGTTAGGAGAATGTAAACCGGACACGATAGTGAGATAGTGTGCTAACAGTAGGTGTGGCCGTTCACCATCCCTGGGTGTGAACCCGAAAAGGTAAAAGAGGGAGAGGTGATGACGCTCTCCGGGGTTGAGAATCCCCAAGGTTACTGTACAGTGGTTACGTCCTGGTGAGGGTCCGAAATGACAGTTCACCCTTACCCGTGGTTCGAGAACTGATCTGGTAAGGACATCGAGTTAGAGTTCCCTACCATCAGTCTCTCTGAGTCACCGCGCCCTTCGGGGGTTTATCGTCCCGAGTATACGGACTAGATTATCTCATTGACACAGGTTTCATAATTTATTATGCATAAAAAGTAGAAATTACTAACCATGCAGGTTTAATTTGAGAAAGGTAAATAAAACTAAAAGTGAGTAATAGTTCTCCTACTGAGCATTCCGTGCTCACCCCCTTTGTCCTCTTTCATTTCCAGGGGGTGTACAGTGCAACCTTTCGGACGAGGAGTAGTCACCGATCAGCGTGCCCCTCGTAGAGGATCTACCATTTTCAGTTTCCTTCCTTAAATTTGTGTAAGACCTTGATTGGATTACTTTGGACAGAATTGTAACTGATGATGATGATCGTACTGTTAAATATTTTATTGGTGCTACATTATACTGTGAATCTAAGTTTTAACGTAACGATGAATTATGGGTTTTAACGGAGAGTTTGTTTTAAAAGCCCATGGGCAGACATTGTTTTTATTTCAGGAGTTTTATTTTATTTTATTTCTATTTGTGCACCATTACCGCACTTTTATTACATAACCCCTACTTAGGGGCGTCACAAAAACACAAAACCAAGGTTTAATTACATGTTCTGCCATTCTCTATGTCGTATCTTTTTTTTCTTTTTTCTTTTTTTTAAAAAAAAATCACTCTCATCCCTCATCTTTTGATTAAAATTGAAGAAACATGTTGCGTCTAGCGAGGTTCATACTTTATTATGCGCACATGCGAGAGTTTACAATCGCTTAAATATTATTATTATTACTATTACTATTACTATTATTTATAATATACTATTATTATTAAGAAGCAGATCTTCAGATCTATTTGTAATTGGTCCATCACTTAAAAAAAAAAAATCCTCAACGATTCTAAATTGTTTAGCTGCAAGAAATGCTGAATGAAAGAAATATACTAACCAATCCTTTCGACTTTCGTCCATAACGGTGAAAGTGTTGAATTTTAATATTAAAACAAAATCTGTAAAGAGATGGCACTTTGCAATTATTATTTATCGGGGAGCATTAATAGTGTCGAGTCAGAGCGTGAACAACCATAAAGCGGGGTTTGACAGCAAATTTGGCCCTTTCCTTTTGGTTATCGTTAAAATGTTTGGTTTAAATTTAAAATTATAAAAAAAATATTATAATAAATTATGAATAATAATTTAAATTATAATATGAATCTATCAACTAAACGCACATGTTAATAAGTTGCCAGTTTAATAATTGAGAAGCATCTGCACAGAGTAAATAAATACATAAACAAACAACTATATGAATGAAAAGCATGCCAAAGCTAATAAAATGGATAATTTAGAAACATGGAAGTCATTTTCCAATCATATTAAAGATTGAGATGATTTGATATTATGGTAAGGCTTAAATTATAATAAAAAGCAATTATTAAGAGCTTTCAGACAATATATTATTCATGAACATAAGTGGAGAGCAAGCAAGTACCATGACACCCAAAAAGAGTATGCCACAGTGTGAAAAGTTTGAAGGGGTCTTTAAGATTAAACGACAATGAAATTTATTTATATGCAAATTGATATGTTGAACTTTTTTTTAGATTAAACTACATGAATGTCTCAGTTTATTAATTTGAGTTTTAAATTTAAATTGAGATATAATTTTATATGAAAATTTTTTACTATAACAAAAAAAATAAATATAATTTTTTATTAAAATTTTTAATTATAATAAAATTAAAATTAAAAATTTAAACCAGTACAATAAACGAGACTCTGAACGAAGCTGAAGTTCGATCTTATCAGCAGATTATGAATTGATTAAAAAAAATAATAAAAAATACGGCAAAAGGACAAGTAAAAGTCAGTTAAATGTTTCAAAGGTACAATGCCACCATCATTCAACTGTGGGCTAAAAATTTCCTTCTCTTTCTCAACTGCATTTTTTTGATTTTCTAGGAATAAACTAAAAGGACGAGTTTCAGAGAGAGAGAGACATGGAAGAAGAACTGCTGAAAAGGCCTATGATTGATGAGGAAAATCTAAAAGAAAATGATGAAACTCAAAAAAATGGCTCCTCAGCAACCCCAGTTGTTGTTCTCAGCACTTTGGTTGCTCTCTGCGGTTCTCTCTGCATTGGTTGCGTTGTAAGCACCATCTCATTCTCTGTTTGTGATCTTTTCTTCTTTTTTTTTTGTATATATCATTATTATTGTTATCCATTTCCTTGGTATTATCGAATTAAGGCTTTTAGCCAATAATCTTAACGAATGAAAAGATTGATTTTGACTTATGAACAATTGGGTATCTTGGATTATAGAATTTTACTACAGAGGGGCAATTAAGTGAGAAAACATACCCTTTTTCTTGAGTCACAAGTTAAAGGAACAGTGAAGGTGTAAATTATTGCCTCGCAGATTGGATATTCCTCACCTGCTCAAGCTGGAATCATGAAAGACCTGGACCTCTCTGTTGCAGATGTATGCATATGTATTCAAGTATTTCACCATCTCAAACATTTTCGATCCCTTTCGTTTGATTGAGCCTCTTTTCCTGTTGTGCAGTATTCGGTTTTCGGTTCGATAGTGACAGTTGGAGGAATGATTGGTGCGCTAGGGAACGGGAAAATGGCGGATCTCATAGGCCGGAGAGCAGTAAGTTTCTTGTTTGTACCATCCTTAGTTTCAATTTTGAATGTGTGTATCAACTTGCTGATTTGTCTGTTATTTGCAACTCGTGTTGCAGACTATGTGGTTATCCGAAGTGTTGAGTACCGCAGGGTGGACCGCAATAGCACTCGGAAAGGTTTCTCTTCCTTCTCCCAAAACTGATTATTGTGACACACCTCATCTGTTTCTAGAGTAACAAGTTGACTGATATTGATATTTTTCAGAATCAACAAGGTTTTTTTTTTTTTTTTAATTGTCTTCCCTTGCTCGTCATAGACTGCTTGGTGGCTGGACTTTGGAAGGCTCTTGCTTGGGCTCGGATACGCGCTTATTTGCTACGTGGTAATTTCTCTGAGATTTTGACAATCTATTGACTTGTTTTGAACAAGCATGTATTATAATCAAATTATTGTTAGCTACTCAGGTGCCTATATACATTGCTGAAATAACTCCAAAGAACATCAGGGGAAGATTTACTTCTGCCTATCAGGTAAGAGTTGGACTTAATGAGAGTGAAATTAAGACCCAAATCCTTTTCCTCATACTGTTATTCATATTCATGTAATGGTTTTTTTTTAATTTTTTTTCTGAGTGGTAGTTGATGATTTGTTGCGGAATATCGTTGATGTACTTCATTGGGAATGTTGTTAACTGGCGCACCTTGGCTGTAATTGGTAAATCATTTATTTAAGTTTACTTGTAATCTGTAATTAGTGAATCACAATTTTGTACTAACTTTTTCTATTTAGGTGCCGTTCCATCAATGTTACATATATTAGGATTATTCTTCATTCCTGAGTCTCCTAGATGGCTGGTGAGTCCAATAAGATTTAATATTGAAAAGGAAGAAACTTTATAATAGCATGCATATTGATGTAAAGAGTCAACTTCCAATTAGAACTGTAAGAATAATTGTACCAATTATTTGCAGGCGAAAATCGGTAAGCACAAAGAGCTTAAAGCTGCACTGCAGAGTCTAAGGGGGAAGAATGTTGATGTCTCCGGAGAAGCAACTGAAATCATAGTATTTCTTCACCTTCCATGTTCTCAGTACAGCAGTTTCACACGCACACAATACAAAAATAGACTAAAATGGCTGCCCCAAATTTTTTGTGGCAGGATTACACAGAAACCTTTCAGCAGCACTCAGAGAGAGTTCTGGATCTGTTCCAAAAGAGATATGCTCATGCACTCACTGTGAGCTGCCTTAACCACAAAAGAAACTATGAATAGTAAAAGAGGAATGCTAAATGCACTGACGAGTAGCACGAGTGCAATATCTAAGACACTCATTGTTGTGGGACCCAGCAGGGCTCACAAGAATCAATGGCCCAGACCTTGCACTCGCACTACTTTCCTAGCTGTATAGCTTGTCTCTGGAGGTGTCTTAACCTTCTTTTGCACACAAATTAATTGGTTTAGGTTGGAGTTGGGCTGATGGCGCTGCAACAACTTGCAGGGAATGCTGCAGTTGTTTACTACTCCAGCTCTATATTTACAAAGGCTGGTAACTAGAATACTTATAATATCCCTTCACACTAATTTAAATACAACAGAAGTTATACATCATAGACTTGAATCTCTCATCTCTTACAGGAGTGTCAAGTAGTGTTGGGACTATATTAATGGCCATTATCCAGGTACATGAGTTTCTCAATTCCTGCCTAGCATGTCAGTTGAGGATTCTGTAAAGCACATATCTCAAATGTACATGTGAATTGCAGATTCCTGCCGTTGCATTGAGTGTGCTTGTGACCGATAAATTGGGAAGACGGCCCCTTTTAATGGTAAGAATTTTTTCCGCTTTTAAGTTCTAATGTTGTGTGCAAATGATGTCCAAAGAATTGATTCGTCATGTTCACCAATGTTTGCAGATTTCTGCGGCCGGAATGTGCTTGAGTTGCTTTCTTCTTGGCTTGTCATTCCTATTTCTGGTGTTTCCACATACCAACTCTTAATACCTCTCTATTATTTTGTTTAAGGGACAGGCTTCATATACAAATGATCATACTATAATGCTTAAGCTTGTTATTCACAGGACCTGAACTACTTGCAGCAGCTCACTTCCATAATGGTTTATATTGCACTTCTGGTATGGACAAATACGACATATGCATTCATAACATTACTTTTAAAAAAAATGGTCAGTTCCAAATGTTTTAACTTAATTTGAATGGTTTAAGATCCTTAAAAGTCTCAAAGATCAGCTCTTCTTTTTTTTAATTCAGGGGTATAGCGTGTCATTTGTAATGGGCGTGGCAGGATTACCCTGGGTTATAGTGTCAGAGGTAAAAACTATTTTTTATTCACATGTTAATAACCTTTTTTAAGCTTATTAGCATATAAATGATATCCCAATTATTATTATTATTATTATTATCATCATCATCATCTTTACTATTATCATCTTTACTATTATCATCTTTACTATTATTATCTTTATTATTATTATCTTTATTATTATTATTATTATTATTATTATTATTATTATTATCTTTATTATCTTTCAGATATTCCCTATAAACGTTAAGGGTTCAGCTGGAAGCCTTGTGACTTTGGCAAGCAAGTCATGTTCTTGGATAGTTACATACAGTTTCAATTTTATGATGCTATGGAGCTCCTCAGGTATGCAAACAAAAATACCCACCAAGTTTTTTTTTTTTTTTGGGTTTTTTCTCGGTCTTTCATATATTCATGTATGATAAGTTGTATACACTATTGCAGGCACATTTTTTGTCTTCTCTGTCATTTGTGGCTCAACTCTTCTTTTTGTTTTCAAGTTAGTGCCTGAGACCAAAGGGAAAACTTTAGAAGAAATACAAGCATCAATTGCACATTTTCTTCGGTGATTCATAAACATGGAAAGTTGTTTCTGCTTCTCTATAAATGGTTTTATCCACAGTGTGATAAGCAGACAAAATAGAGGAAAACAGAGTTTCTTTTTCTTTTCTTTTTTCCCCATTATTCAAATAGTTTATCTTACGTTATCCAGTTATATTTTGTCCTTAAATATACGTGTGTGACGTCAATGTAAATACATACTTGTATGGTGTGATTTTTAAATTTTAGTGGGGTTGAAAGCCTAAAATCAGTCACCAACTTCAACTTTAACAAATAAATGCGAAAGGCTTGACAAATAAATCCAACGCTCTAGAAAAAACAATTCAAAATTTCAAACTGCAAAATTTTAGTGGTCTAGGCCCATATAGAGTGTTACGATTAACCGTTGTGCTCTAAATCCAGATACAATATGTCTCAATTAACCGTTTCTAATCCAGGTATAGTCTCGCAATTAATCCTTTTGTCGTCCATAATATAATGTCAATATTAGTTTCTATGGTATAGATATATTAATGCCACAATTAACCCTCTATGGTCCATGATCATTATCGCTATTTAATAGACGTGATATAGGCACAGTATTACAAATTAATTCTTGGTCTCGTTCATTTTATCGATTCGAGTTTTACTACAGTAAAAAATTCTCATAAATAGTTACATATAATTTTTTTATTACAGTATATAAAATCATATTTCAATTAAATTAAAAATTTGAGTCAACAAACTAAACGGACTAGTGCCATGTTTCGTATCACAACATAATCAGCAGCTATACAGTGCTTAGAAATACTATGCAACTATACACCATTGATATGTGTCTTTCAAAACGACAAGATAAAGTTAATTTGGGTTGTTGGGAGAAAAGGTTCTTTTAGTCAAAAGCCAAAAGGGCCCCCCTTTGTTCCTTTAATATATTTATACCAATAAATTGTAATATGGCACATGCTCCAAAGTCACGTAAAGGATGTGTCGTATTTGGGAACGTCCTAATTACAATATCAGATATGGCAATGCAGATGGGATATATCTGTCGTATTTTCGTAGCATATTTTGATCTCATTAAAAATATAACTAGATACCATAGTCCGATATGAGAATGATATCAGTTAAATATGGCAATACAATGAGCAAATCATATATATCCGTTGAACTTGCAAATATCAAATATGGAGAGATACAATATTTACAAATCATATATATCTTGGAACATGCTAACGCTAGTTCATTTAGCTCCTCAAAGAATATTATGCAATGTTTGGTATCTAAATTCGTTCCCTGATTTGAATCATGGTTCGTGGTTCGTTACAGTATTTTCTCTCACAAAAAATACACGTAAATCAAAAATAATTTTAATCTATGAACCAAACGTAAAGTATTTTCTATCTAGTAGTCCCTCTTTATATATTCTGCAAGAATTTCCTTTTTTTTTTGTCTTCAATTTAGAGAGAGAGAACATGGAAAAAGACTGCTAAGAAATCCTTTCTTCAAGAGCCAGAGCCATGGGATTTTGGTTGTTTGTGGACCAAACTAAGTAATTAGTAGAAGTTCCCTTTGGCTTAAGAAGAAAATGAGTCGTCATTTTTCCCTTAACGTTTCCATAATAGAGAACGAAACGTTCCTTTTTCTTTTGAAATTGCTGTCGTTTACGTTGAAAAAGGACATGTATTCTGTCATCTAAAAGTTTCCATTTGTTCCGAATAGAAAAAGGATCGTTTTATTCAGCATTATAGATTTCTGTCATTTATATAATTTGCTGATTCTGTTTAAAAGACCAGTACTTTCTGATTTCTGTTTTTTAAAAAGCTATTGTCATTTATATAACGTTGTTTTTCGTCAAAAAGCTTTTCATTTAGTCAGATAAACAGATAAACGACATGTCGCTACCATTTAATCAGACAAACGACATGTCGTTATCTGAAGTCTACTTCCTTGAATCATGCTACATGCTGTCTATGATATTCTGTGTGGGAATGTCAATTAACTTACATAATTTTGTGTTCCGAAATTTTGTCGTCGTTTAAGAAAAATATAACACAAAGTAACAAGGGAACCAACGCTCACTCTTTACTCTTTTTTTTTTTTTTTTGAAACTAATTTTTGTATTGTTTTTTTAAGTACAGTTACAACAAACAAGGTAGGTTAGGCGGATATTTTATGGATTGGCGACAAAAAAAAGTCTCTGATGGACCACTCAAATTTGATCCATTGGGAAGCCAAGCGCCTCACCAACCTTCTCAGTCAGAGATATTTACGGACTGTGGATTGAGAGTTTTTAATTTAATTTTATTACAGTTAAATTTTTTTTTATAAAAACTCACATCATTTAATTTTATTTATTATAATTAAAATTTTTTACATAAAATCACATTTTAATTTAAATTAAAAACTTAATAAACGAGACTTGAACATTTAACTTTTCATGTGGCAGAACAAAGATTTGATTAAGAAGATGGGCCCGTTCGGTTCGCTAATTCGAGTTGAGATGTGATATTGTGTGAGAATTTTTTACTGTAGCAAAAAAGTTAAATGTGACTGTTTCTAAAAATTTTTTACTGTAACAAAACTCGAATTCTAAACTCGAATGAGCGAAATGAACGGGGCCTAAAATACCCTCAATCTGATTAGGGTAAGGTTTTTTTTTTTTTTTTTTCCTCTTCCTTTTCTCTTTCTCCGGTTGCCCTCTTCTCTCTCCTCTTACCTCCTCGTCCTTTCTCTTTCCTCCTCTCTTTCTCCAACAGCCCTCTTCTCTCTCTTTCCTCTTATATTCCCTTTATTTCTTTCTCCCCTCTCTTCTCCAATCGTCACATTAACCCTGCCCGTCGTCTTCATCTTCTTTGTGGATGAAGATCCCCCGCATCGCATGTGGTTGTAATATGTTCACACGAGTTGAGGAGATCCTCCTTTTTGTAAAGTTCTTTTTTTGTACTTTTTTGTGTATTCGTTGTGATCCGGTGATTTTTGTGTTTTTTTGATACTCCTGCGACGCTGCACTATCTCTTAAAACATAGCTTTTCTAGTGAATACCGGACAAGATATCGGTTAGTATCCATGTGGATACCAGTCGATGGTGGAAGGATTTTTGTGTTTTTCTACGAATTTGAAGTATTCCGGCCACTATGATGGTCAGATTGCCGCCAAAATTGGTTGTTACTAATAGGTATTTCGACCAAATACTCGTATCGCGGCTAGATACTAGTCGGTATCGCGACTGGTATTATAAGAGTATTTGAAATTGTAAATAAAATGTGATGACAGTGACAATTTCTACAAATGTTTGTCCCTTCTTGTATAAGTTAATCCAAACTTAAAATTTATAGTGTTCTTGTAAAGAGCCCTCTCAGCCTTCTTGGCTCACTAGCCTCGAACAATGAAGATATTCACAAATTCCATTACTTTATTTTAATTTAGGAGATTTTTCTAATAGGATATACAAAAAGTTAACCGACTATGGATAAATTTGTCAGATTTACACGGTAAAGTTCTACATATTTTTTAATATAATTTTAATTAGATATAAAGTAAAAAAAATACACCACTAATACGAAGTCCTAGGTAGAAAGGCGCCTTAATGTATTGGTAGAAGGGAGACAAAAACTTTTTAATGCATTTTATAAAGTTTGTCAGGGATGAATCCATAAAATTTTAAAAAATTTTAAGTTACTCTTTTTATCATTTATTACTGTCTATATTTATTATTTGATATGTTGAGATTTATTATCTTATTTTTTATTTAAATAATAATATATTATGTTAATAGATTTCACATATTAAATAATAAATGTAAAAAAAAAAAGAATAATAAATTTTTCAAAGATTTTTTTTTTCAATTCTTATACTAGGAGGAAAAGAAAAAGAGAGGGACAAAAAATTTACAAAGGAAAGAAAATGTGAATAAAAGAAAAAAAGTTATTTTTCCTTTTATCTTATTTGTTATGATAGGAGGAAAGAAAATGAGTATTTAATTAAGTTACCGTCTCATTAATTATTTGATATTATTTTAGTTTTAAAATAATGACAAAAATATAATTTTTAGTCTATTTAGTTCATACGTTTAAATTAGTGTCTTAATTCTGACATTTAAAATTTAAATTTTTTATAAGAGAAAAAAATTATAACATAATTAAAACTATACATTTAAACATATAAAACAAACGAATCTTTAATTATTTAAACATGACGCAACAAGTATTCCATCTAAAAATCTCTTATGGAGATAAAAAATTACGGGACCCACGTATCTTTTTATCCATTCAATTTTCTCTCTTACTTAACAACTTGGAATTCTATTTTTTCTTCAAAGATTCCTTCACTTTTTTTTTTCTCTCACTTTTCACCTCTACCAAACATGAGTGTTAGAAACCGACGAGTCAGACCTTAACACAGAACGAAACGTAAAGTTGTTTAATTTACTAATTTGAAGTTAAGATTTAATTTTATGTAAAATTTTTTTATTATAATAAAAAAATTAAATAGAATTATTTTTAAATTATTTTTATTATATTAAAACTTAAATTAATGAAATATACTGTCATAAATAACAAGACAAATAATGCCGCAGCTGCTCTCTCCCCTATTTTTTCGTTCTTATTTATATATATCTCAAGAACAATTTCAACGGTGGATACTGTCCTGTTGACAGAGTACGTTACCTATTGCAAAATTTTCAAACTACATATATTTTTTTTGCTGATCTTTCAAATTATTATTCGTTAAACTCAAAAAGCTCAAACAAAAACCTCTCTGCTTAGTTTTTTCTCGGTCTTTTTTCATTCGTTTGTAGTTCCAAAGAGTTTCAGAACATGGGTAAAGTCAAAGAAAGCATAGAAGAAGAAGGACAATTGTCAAATCCTCTGCTGCTTGTTGAAGAGAGTTGTGGTGGAAGTGACGAGAATGGATCTTTCTCTCCCACAACTTCTATGGTTGTGCTTAGCACCTTCGTTGCTGTGTCTGGATCCTATGTTTTCGGTTCTGCTGTAAGGAATAATTACTACTTTGTGTTTGTATCAGATATGGGTTTGATGTGCTTTTGAGATATGGATCAGATATTCCTAGCCGTTTGATTAACTGACTTCTCGTTTGACCTGACGGCTCATAATTGCTTTTCAGGTGGGATATTCCTCACCAGCTCAGTCTGGAATAGTGGAAGAACTGGGCCTTGTTGTGGCACAGGTTAGTAACTATTAGTCTGATCAACACGAAAAATTTTGGCCAACTTAGCACTCTTTTTTTTTTATTTTAATAAAACACACAGAAGCAGAACACATAAAATGCTTACCTGTTTTGTTTGTCATGTACAAAACTTATCTTTTTGATGCAGTACTCGCTTTTCGGTTCAATATTAACAATTGGGGCAATGATAGGCGCAATAGTGAGTGGCAAAATATCCGATTACATCGGTCGAAGAGGTGTAAGTTTTTTTCCATTCATTCCAATTTCCAACAATATTGATTAAAGATATACAATTATATATCATATGTTCAAAGTTTCTTAATTCTTGTTTGTGTTTTTGAGCAGACAATGGGCATCTCTGAGATATTCTGCATTGTGGGATGGCTTTGCATAGCTTTCTCTAAGGTTAATTTTGTGTCCCATAACTTGCTATCCCCTGTTCAAATATTTTTCTTTCACACGTATATATATTAGAAGTCGTAGCAATGTATAATAAACTTGACCAACGAATAACATTTTGTAAATTTAATAGTTTATTTCTTGTTGAAAGGTTGCTTGGTGGCTTGACCTTGGAAGACTTTTAGTTGGATGTGGGATGGGGCTTCTTTCTTATGTGGTAAATTTTGTATTAAAGTTACAATGCTCAAATTGCACATCTGATTGTGTTCTGTATGCCAAATAAAAACATTATATATGTGCGTTCAATTTCCAAATAGGTACCTATTTATATAGCAGAAATAACACCGAAGAATATTCGAGGGGCATTTACAGCAGTTCATCAGGTAAAAATAAAAGCATCAATTTGGAATCTAATTTTAAAGTTTTTCCCCCCTTATATAGCTGATGATTAGTTCTGATTTTACAGTTGATGATATGCTGTGGGGTGTCATTGACATATCTCATTGGGGCTTTTGTGAACTGGCGCATTTTGGCTATTCTTGGTATCTTATTTTGTCTTTGTTATTTCTTTCTTACTTAGTTGTAGATCATATATCTATATATATATTAATTTAATTGGTTTATATTTTCCACGTTCAGGAACAATTCCATGCATAATACAACTTCTAGGTTTATTTTTCATTCCAGAATCTCCCAGATGGCTAGTGAGTCACACCTAAAGTTCTTCTCTAACTTGTATATCATATGCAAAAGTAAAAAAATTCATGAATCTTTTGAAAAGACAGATAATTTTGTAGGCAAAGATCGGCCAAGAAAAAGAGTGTGAAGCTGCTTTACAGCGCCTTAGAGGAGAGAATGTCAATATTTCTCATGAAGTTGCTGAAATTAGAGTAAGTTCTCAACTTAATACAGACAGATATGCAAGTTTATTCTTTCAAGGAATGTTGAAAGGTACACTAACTTATACTTGTTTCTAATTATGAAAAGGATTACACAAAGACCCTTCGACGGCTATCCGAAGCTAGCACTATTGAACTATTCCAGTGGAGATATGCTCGTTCACTTTTAGTGAGCTTTTTTTGTGACTTGAAAATAATAACTTTACATGTTTACTTTCTTGTTGTTGACCTCTTTTTAGTAAGTTAGACTTTTGTGGTAGCTAGGTTGGAGTTGGCTTGATGGTGTTGCAACAATTTGGAGGAGTTAACGGCATTGTATTTTATGCAAGTGCTATATTTGTTTCGGCCGGTATGTGCGAGGACTCCTTTGCATTCTTTATCTATTTACCAAGAAACAGATTGTACTAAACATGCTAATTAGTGCGTATAAAGAAATATCTATGGTTTAACACAGGATTTTCTGGTAGTGTTGGGACTATAGCAATGGTTGTTGTTCAGGTAATTTCATAATTTTCTTGTGATTCCAATATTTCTGGCTTCGGATTGTTTCTCGTGGAACAAGAAACAGTTCCACACTCTCAAATATTGTTGCTAAAAGACCTTTTTCTTGTAATGACATACTTATAAAAAAGAATAAAATAAAAATGGTCTTCCACAGGTTCCAATGACAGCATTAGGGGTTGTTTTGATGGACAAATCTGGACGAAGACCGCTCCTTCTGGTAAGAACAAGTGAGAAAAAGTTGTGTGAGATTGTGATTTGTGATGGTTATGAATGAAAAATGCTTTGCTAATTAAGCCTGCTAATGCCTTCAGGTTTCTTCTGCTGGAACATTCTTGGGGTGCTTTCTTGTGGGATTATCATTCATCTTGCAGGTTTTTTTTCCTGGGGGAAATTGTTTCCTTTTTAAATTTCTTAAATGTTTTTAGTACTTTCCTTTTTCTGAGAGGAAAAAGTTTATGAATTTGGCAGGATCTTCAACAGTGGAAGGGAGCTACTCCCATTTTAGCACTTGTTGGAGTACTGGTAACTAATGCAAATTCACCCAAATTCTTTAAGCTTTTTTTTATTACCATTTTCTTTAAAAAAAGAGTGCAAGATTTTATAGAAACTACTATCAAAACAAAACTGAGTACAGAAAATCGTTGGAAAATCATGATTTCTTGAAATTTTGTTGTTGTTTCTTGAAAAAATCGCCTTGCTATTTATTGTTTATGATAAAAAGACATGTCGTTTCAAGTGTAGAGTTGCTAATCTATCAGTTATTCATGAATAATTCTGTGGATAAAATTTAAAATTGATTTAATTACATAATAGATGTCCATACCGAGTTACATATCCTGTGTGTGTATGTGTGTGTGTGTGATTGAGAGAAGTCTTTTTTGGAAACCAGGTGTATACAGGATCATTCTCATTAGGCATGGGAGGAATTCCTTGGGTTATAATGTCAGAGGTGGGTTAGTTTATCTCAATCAGATGATGACACATTTATTAATTACACATTCTTCAATATTAGATAGAACTGAAACCACGTAATTTAGTTGCAACAAGAAAACTCAAACTTCACTGATGAGAGAATTAAGAAAACCGTTTCTGTTTCTCAGATATTTCCCATAAACATGAAGGGATCGGCTGGAAGCCTTGTGACATTAGTTAGCTGGTTAGGATCTTGGATTATCTCATTTTCTTTCAACTTCTTAATGGATTGGAGCTCAGCAGGTATTATGATTTAATTTTATTTTATTTTTTTTACATCTTTCAAACTCTCATCTTAAATCATGACTAAATATTGTTAATGTCCTGCAATATTTTACAATATGTTCCTTTCTCTTTTCAGGAACATTTTTCTCATTCTCGATCATATGCGGATTAACTGTCGTGTTTGTCGCCACGTTGGTACCGGAGACAAAGGGAAGAACGCTGGAAGAAATACAAGCATCCTTGAATCCCATTTCGGCAAAAGATTAATGAACTAACTTTGGCATGCTCAAATGGTACTAATGTCAAGCCATAAGTTAGTCCACACGCTTAATATTCTCAAAGAAACCCAAAAATAATAATAATAATAATAATAAAGACGGTGTTTTTCTGACCTTCCTAGGTTTTCAAACTAGAATACTAGGAGCCGGAGGCGTGTAGTTTTATCATCAGGACGCCTGAATACTGATTGATCATAATAAAAAATACATTCGATCCAAGACTGATGGACGGTGTTGTGGTTGTTGACCTGTGGTGGTTTTCCTAATAGCTGTCGTTTTTTCTAATTATTGTCGTTTTCCCTAATAGCTGTCGTTTTTATTGTCGTTTTCCCTAATTATTGTCGTTTTCCATAAATATTGTCGTTTTCACATCTGCCTCATTTATTATTATTTTTTAGTTTCTAATGCTCCTAACATTCTAACGTTGTTGTTTGTTCTATAATAACTGTCGTTTTCTTTAATTATTAAGGTTTTATTTGTTTATGTCGTTTCCAATGTGATGACGTTTTTAAATGTGGTTTTTAAGGTGGTGTCGTTGTCCCAATCATTATTGTTACAAGAGTCTAGATGGTTGTAGTGCTGTTGTTTTTAGGTCATTCTCGTCTTTGGTGCGTTAAAAGCAGTTGCTTTCACTGTCGTTGTTTTTATGGTGGCGTTGTGTTTGTAGATCGTTGCCGATTTATAGGTTGTTATCGTTTTTTGTGTTTATCACTGTACTCTGTAGTTTACACAGTTATTGTCGTTTCTGTAGTCTTGGCATTCTAGGATCTTCTCACCGTAACGTGTCCATGTATTTTTGTTTTTTTGTTTTTTTCCTAGAAACATTCTCAGATTCTCTATTTTTCCTAATTATTATAGTTCTTTTCTAAGTTATGTCGTTTTTATAGTGATGCCTTGTCTAAATATTATCGTTTTCCAATTTTCTTTTTTCGGCACAGATCGCATCCTTCCCGCACCTCTTATGCAGCTGTTTTTCATATCGTTGTCGTTTTCAGGTCATTGTCGTTCTAATGTTGTCGTCTTGGCAGAATCGTCATTTCCACCGTGCTGTTGTTTTCATAGTTCGTTCGTTCCTATTGCTATCGTTTCTTCCCCCCCCCTTCCTCTCCCCCCCCCCCCCCCCCCCCCCTTATAAACACTGCCGTTTTACTAATACGGTCGTTTCCGCGTAATATTGTGTTTCGGATATTGTTGTTTCCAAACTATTGTCGTTCCATGGATCACGTCGTCTCTTTTATTCCGCACTTTTCATGTAATACCTGAGATTTAATTAAGCCTTAAGCCAATAATAAATAAATTTTGTAAATTAAAATCATGCACCCCATTTATCATTTACCTCAAAGTTATTTGTTGGCATTATATTTTATTATTATAGCTATCATATGATTTTATTAAACTTATAGCTTTG